AAAACACTGCTTTGTCTAAATTTGGGCAGAATGTAACATACTGCAATGCCTTTTACTGCTACTACTGTTCATGTCCAGCAGAATAATTAAACAAATTGCTTGCAACAGATTTGAAGCAGAACAAAGGCAGAGCATGGGATAAGTGACATTCCATAATTGCTGCAGCAAATGACTACACTTGGCTTTAGGCAAACCTCAACAATTTTTAGAACTATCCTCAAAAATATACACTGAGCTGTGAGGAGCAGTAGCACACAGACACATATATACATACGTGTTATTTCCACAAAGTGGAGTTGTTGAAACAACTAACCTAAATAAAGGGCCAAGATGCAGCAAGGGTGAGTTTCAAAAGCAACCTAAAAACCACTTAAAACACAAGCTGAGAATCAGTTTCTAGTGTCAGTGTCATCAATATACACAGTATAATTAACACTGTATTAGTACCACTTATTAAACAGCGCTTGCAAACATGAAATCACCAGGTAGGAAATTCAGAGGACACAGTGGTAAGGTTCTGCTCGTGTGTTTTCTCAGCATCTCCTGCTGATCTGTGGCACCACTGCAAATAAAAATCTGCATTCTCTTTTGGAATTCACCACACGTTCTACCACCATTTCTCTAGGGTTCTCAAATGTTAACGTTACTGTGGGTAAAAAAAATAATTAAGAAACATATATATATATTTAATTACTTAAAACGAAACAAAAACAAAAAAAAGGAGTTTATAAAGTGCATGGACCAGCTCTCAGGAGATGGTTATTTCTGTCACTGTGGCAAAGTGCTGAAAATCAATACTGTATGTTAGGGAAGTTAAAATTTTGGTCTTTAGCTGGTATGGATGAAAATAGATGAGGCTATCACTTCTCTTTTGCATGCTGCCTCCTTCCAGATGCTGGAGATTAATGTTACAAAAAAAAGGAGTTTATAAAGTGCATGGACCAGCTCTCAGGAGATGGTTATTTCTGTCACTGTGGCAAAGTGCTGAAAATCAATACTGTATGTTAGGGAAGTTAAAATTTTGGTCTTTAGCTGGTATGGATGAAAATAGATGAGGCTATCACTTCTCTTTTGCATGCTGCCTCCTTCCAGATGCTGGAGATTAATGTTCAGGTAGAACCTTCAGGGCTGCCGTAAAAGGGAGGGATGAAGGGAAGAGAGACCCTTGCAAAGATTCAGGTACAACCCTTACTGTCTGTTGTGAATCCACAAACTAGGCAGCTGTGGAAATAGGACTCTCATCTCTTTTCCATTCATGCACCTTCAACACCATCATCACAGATAGAAAAGGAAGGTTTTAGCCTCATTCCTGGCTGTCTGTCTCTTTGCTCAGCCTGGTAACATACAGTACATGATGACGCACAATTATAGGCAATTAATTCAAATATCCAGGAAACAAGAACTCACATCTGCAGTTAATCATCTTGTGCTTTTTGCCAAACCATAAACCATTTCTACAGAAGAGAACAAAGACATGAGAGATATAATTAAATGCGACATTTTCTGTAAATCAGACACTTCCTACAAATGTGCAGATCACAGCACAGAACAGCAAAACTTTCCAAACTGCTCCAGTGTTCATATGATGCTTAGCATCTCTCTGAGGCTGTGATGGGTGTGACACTGCTAACCTAGGAGGTAATTTCACTGTACCACTCCAAATCTCACCAATGGCAAACACCATTAATTTGGCCTTAGCCAAAATTAGTTTGACACTGGATGACACTTCCCACATGAGACCATTCATCACAAACTCTTCTGTAGCACCAAAATGGGCAGAAATTGAAGCAGTGAAGTGCTAACTTCCTTCTTTCAAAGCAAGACCTGATTTAGCTAAAGTGTTCATTCTTTAAAGGTTAGAAAGTACCATTCAAAAATTTCAGTTAAAATTCTTTCAATTTGGCAAATGAAAAAGTGTCCATTTTGAGGTCCAACTTGGACGTGGTTTTATTTCTTACTATATTTCCCATTTTCCCCATCAAATTGAAACCAAAGCAAACCATTCAACAGCTCAGTGTTCCTCTGCAACTCTAGCTGGATTTTTTCCCGGAAGAATGGTTTTCTTCAGATTCAACAAGCTTTATCTGTTTGAATCAATTCTAGCAAGAGAAAAAAAGGCAAGTTTGTGCCTACATGTCAATGTAACAATATTAATCCCCAAACAAATTCAGGTTTGTCGTACAAACCACCAAGACAACTCAGAACAATTCTGTTAGAGGTAGTTTGGGTAACAAAAGTTAGGTTTGGTTTCACTTTGGAAGATGCTGATAAAAAAATACTCTAATGCTTAAAGGCAGATTATTATGATAAGAAAAATGGTCATGAAATGTTATGTGCTTGATATTTGTGCTCTAATTGATCAACTCACAGCATCTGCGGCATAGAATGGCAGAATTATAGAATTATTTAGCTTGGAAAAACAAAAAAAACTACTTAAACTAGACCAGACTTGCTTCACTGCCCAATCTGAGCTGAACTTCAGAAGAAAATGAAGGATGAAGAAGGCAAAGGAAATCACTTTTCTTGATTAACTGCTTATATTTGGTTCCCAGTTTGAGATTCTCTAAGAGAATTTTATTTTCAAAGATGACTCAGTAATTTCTGAAAACCATGAGTCTCTGACTGGGCAAGCAGTACCTCCAATGACTTTTAAAAGAAGTCATATCAGAATTTTGATAGAAAATATTCAGAATGAAATAGATATTTTTTTTAAAACTACTCTTTTTAGCACAAAAGTATTTTTTATCCAATAATAGTAGGATTTTAAAAGACTGATTGTAAACTTCCCTACAGTTTCCAACCACTCAAACAAAAAAAAAAAAAGTATAAAATATCTTTAAATAAAAATAAAAGGATATTAAATTTTAAGGTTTTTGAATTCAGCTCTAAATACATGCACATAATTGTGCACTAGGAAAGCTACAGATGCCAAAATTTTCTGCTGTAGTTTCTTAGCTATCAGTTCATATTCTGATGTTCAATCTAGATTTCTCGCAATTTCTGCATTGTGAAGAGCACCATTTGTATCTCTCAAACAAATTAGATTTTATTCTTCACAGAAATATTTAAATACTGGTGTTTTCCTCTATAGGGAATGAAACACTCTTTGAAAGTTTAGCTTTTTAAAGTAATTTACTCAAGGATTATGTTTCCACGTATTTCAGTTTGTTTCATTAGCACTAATACTACATTTCTTCCAAAAATAAAACCTTGGGGAAAAAAATAAAAAAGGTAAGAATAGCAATAGATTAATTTACCAGTAGGAATAGAAAGCTGTGTTCTAATTCTGGAGAATTCAGGTGATGTGTTGTTCACTCAGTCTCCTTTGTCTTGTACCCTGAGGAATCACATGCCATGCAATTATATTATTATCCAACCCTGCAAGAAGACATGTGCTGTCCTTGGAAAAACCCACACCATTATAATCCTGTCTCATTATGGTAGAAGTAGCCCACAACAACTGTTCACATCAGATTTCCACATCTGAACGTGAGTAAGTCCCCAATGAGGGATCTAAATTAGGTGGAAAATCACTTTAGGAAACCAAATGGCAAAACTACTGCTGAAGAATTTTCATGGTTAATAAGATTAATGAATGAACTGGCCAAGACCCACTCATCATTAAATTCACTGTTAACTCACAGAGGGATGTTCAGTCCTACTCTGGTAGGCATGGGCATGCCTGAATGGGATCCTAGCCCACTCAGAGAAAATTCTACAGTTTTGCAAGTCATTTTGGCATGTGCTTTCATCTCGTTACTGTTCTACATGATCTACTGAATCAAGATCTTAGCTAACTGTATCCAAACCTGGTGTGTGTCTCACCTCAGTGACACACCAGGTGGGCACAGCCATGTGAACATACTCCCTCTCTATTCAGTGATATCAGAAGGTCATTGCTAGAGCTGTCAACTAATGGAAAACACAGTAATATCATGTAGTTCTGAAAACTGAGGATTTTTTATCATTTATTTTCATTAGTGGCTCTTTGGTCACATTGAACCAAGTGTGCCTTTTGTACAAATTCATTAAAATTCCCCAGCACTGCACACCAGCTCACCTGCTGCCTGTTTCCAGTGTGCAGCACAGAGCATTGGCCTTCCCTGGGAGGCTGCTTGGTCCCAAGCCTGCCATGCTGCACACTGTGCAGCCCAACAAGCAAACATGAGAAAGAAACACTGCTTGTTATCCTTCATAACATTATGGCTTCTTAATTTTCAAACACCAAAGCACAAACTCACTCTGAATCTGCTTGTACCGTACCAACTGCCTTCTAGGCCATCCTTGACCCAGAAGGAGATATGTAAACCAGGTGCTACTTACTAAACGACCAACTAGAGAATCTGCTCACTCTGAGCAGTCCCCAGAGGCAGAAGTGTTCAGCATCTGCACACCAGTCACCAGAAGGGACAAAGTCAGTCCAATCTCTGTACAAGGTCCAATTCTCACTGGCTTCAGGAGAAACATAATTCACAGAAGAATCCTGGGTAAAAACCATGTGCATGAAAGTGCAGAATGCAACAAAATCTCACTCAGAGTCTTAATATCCAAAGCAAAGAGCACAACTCTTCCCCACATTCAAATGGGCAAAGTGGCAAGAGGCTGAACAGCACTGAAGTCAGGAGTACCTGTGGTACCCCACAGCAGCCAAAGTCTCTCAGAGTCTGCGTTTTCCCATGCTGGATCTCAGCATCAGTATCCCCTCCACGGGAGCTCCTGGGCTGTCAATCATCTTCTGCCAGAGCTGCTGCTCTTCCCCTTGAGAGTCCATCCAGTCAACCTCCTTGCCATTACTTACTCCTGATGATTAGAAAAACATGAGGCATTTTGCCATCTTAGGAAGCAGTTACTTAATATTGGTGCTCATTTGCCACAACAGTGTACAAGAAAAACAACAACTACACTATTACATGGTGACACTACCACCTGTACAGAAAGTGATGCTGAAAACAGATGCAGAGAGTGCCAATTTGTCATTAAACTTCTTTGTGGCACACAGACAGGGCATAAACTCCTCATTCTGCAGCACAAGCAACTTTCTCTTAACAGAGGAGGAAGGGATTAACACCTCTTCCAGGTCACACCATCATCAGTGGAAATGCTGCTGCTGGACAAAAGTAGTCTCCTCCTCCTCACTGGAATGCTAAGAATGGTTCTAAGGTATTGTGCAGAAGTACAACTGGGCACACAGTTTATGTGTCTCACTCAATGGAGGAAAGAACTAAACCATCTACAGATTACATATTCCCTTTTCTCCCTTACAAATTCCCCAAGTTCCCATATACTTTTCAAACACTCAGTAAGATTTCTGTCCTTCATTTGGGGTGAGAAAGGAGAAGAGCAGAATAACAAAACCAATCATGAGTCAGATGGGTACTTACCATTTCCAGTGCTCAAACGGACACCTCCCAAAAAAATATTACTGGAGAGTGACTCCTTGTCCCACACAGTCAGTTCTAGGCAGGCATTACGGATATCCCTGGAATTCAAGCCACTGAAAGCAAAGGTATGATTCCACTGAGGGTTCACACTCTTTTTCACTATGGGAGTTTTGTGTTTTGTAGCTTTGCTGTCATCTGGGAGCAGGTACCTGGGAGATACAGAAGAGGAAAATGGAATATGTAAATTTCTTGTCACAGAATATTCACAAATAATTGCAATCATGTAGAGGCTGAAGTGGGATCAGGACTCCATCTCTCCTTTGGTATTAAGCATATACCTGAAGTGCCTATTTTCAGTTTGTGCTCCATTTATTCTTATAGTTACAGTGGCAGTTATCACCAGCAGAAATTGGAATTAGGTTTCCTTGCCCCAAGTCTCATCCACAAACTTTTAATTTCAGTGAAGCTAAATATAGACAGAATCATAAAAATGTTGGTTAGAAGGGGCCACTGGAGCCACCTCATCCAGTGTCCCTCTCAAAGCAGGACAGGAGGTCCTCCAGAAAGAAATGGAAATGACTGATGAGGAAGGAACTTCAGCAAGATGCCTCAAGCCCTGTTGAGTGCAGAAACACAAATGCTGTAAAGTCTGACAACCTCATCACATTTTACTTGCCGTGGAGAATTCCTTTAATGAAACTAAATAACTTAACTCTGTCGTTGCAAAATCAGAGATCTCTACTGGTCTGTAACTTCATCTCCTTCAGCAAAGCTGATGGAATAACTATGTGGCTGCACATAAATACTAAAGGGTCAGATATACAACCAAATTACGTCACTAGACCTCAATCAGGTGAATATTCATCTACCTTTGCCACATCAGTTACCAAACATTATCTTTTATAACAGCATACACATCAGCAGACATGTTCAAATGGTTCTGTTCCTTAGAATCATCAAGAAGCAAAGAATCATCAAGGTTGGAAGAAATCTCTAAGACCATCAAGCCCAACTGTCACTGGAATCTTAACTGAGTGGTATTCAAATACAACTTGTACCTCTCTGCCCCTATTCCACAGCACCTCTCTCTTCAGCAGACAATTTCAAGGCAACAGTTGCTTCTCAGGACTGAGACTCCACACACATATATACAGATATCTTGTTAAAAATTGGGTCAGCCAAAGTATGATTCAGTGCAGCCATTGAAAAGAGGGAGAAAAAAATCCACAAACCCTTTCACAAAAGTGTCAGATGTGCCTCCTGATTTCACTGCTGTTAAATTCTTTGCTTCTTTGATGAGGACTTCCAATATACCTCCAGATGGCACATGAGTATCTCCCCTTTTTCCTTTTTTAAAGCTCTTCTTTCCTATACACAGAACAAAGTAACATCATCATCATCAGAAATTATACATAGACTGTAGGACTGATTTGTAAATGTTAATTGTCTTGGCTAGATTTTAAAAAATAATTTACTGCAATGGGATTAAAGCATTTCTTATGAGGAGATTCTGATTCTCTATGGGTAGAGAAACTAAGGCAGGGGCAGAAAAATCACTCCATATATGATAAAGAACTTGACCATGTAACTAGACAGTCCTTGCAGGACACAACAGTGTGCCCTGTCTGAAGTCCTGTTTGAGTATTTGTGGACTGCTATGCTGAGCACAAAGAACTGCATAACCTGTAAGTCCTACCTTCTTTTCAGAATCCACTTTCACCACTGATGTTAAGGCAGGCCTGGACCACAAACAAGCCATAAAACCTCTGTCCCAAAGCTTAAAATTCAAAAATAAACCAAATGTGTAATGCTGCACAGCTCCTGAGGGAGCATGTCAAAGGACACAGTGCTCACTGACACTCTACTGCTTTCACTGCAGCACCAGGACACATGCACTCACTGCTGCTGCAAATTCTAAGAAGCTTCTCAGCAGGGAATGTACACACTGATTCTGGCTGAAAACAGTGTAAAAAAAAGATCAGGAGTGATGTGAACATGTAGTTATTTAAAAAAATGCAGAGAGTATATCTGGACTGAGCAGACAACAATTAGCTTTGAAGTGAGATAACCTTGAGAAAACCTTGCTGCTAGCAGAGGGAATGTCATCTGTCTAAAGAAAAGAAAGAAATCTAATTTATCTATCAAATCCAAATGCTAACAAGCAATACTGTCACTAGGAGTGATATACCTGTGTCTGGTATATCCATGTACACTTAAGGTGCTACCCAGTGACTTCCTTCCCTTGCTGGTCCTCATGCTACTACAATGCAAAGAGTTACTAACTGTTTTCCCCTGTCCATTGCTGATGAAAATAGTGGCTCATCCTAAAGAATTAAAATAATATTTTACAGGACTAAATTACAACTGTAATACAGTGAGACTGAGCAGATGAAAAACTGTGAAAAAAGAGTGCAAATGAGGAGATAGCTTAGGGAGAATTAAGCATGAAGGACTCAGTGAAGTCTATCACTTTGATCGACTAAACACTATATAACTAGCTGAACAAAGAACTCACAGACTAAGATGCAGACGATTTATTTCTCTGTAGCTTTTCTCGATCATTTCACCTAATGGCTGGATTTTATTTTTTTTTAATTAGGTCACAGCTAGGCATCACCCCTTGACTGCACACTCCTCTTCCCTTCTCCCTCCTAAAGTTCAATGTAAGAGAAGAGGATGGAGCAGGAGAAACATATTCATGGTTCAAAACTTCCCCAGATAAAGATAACTAGAATATTTAAAGCTTCACTAGTACCAATACTTCAGCCTAGGTAAGATTTTTAATACTGAGGGATGACATCATATGCTGCCACTGATGTTTGCTTTACCTTGAAACTGCCCTAGAGGAAGCATTAGGTTTCTGTCTGGGGGAATGTAACGTAAAACAACTGTCAGTTCTCCTTTATATTGAAGTCCAAAATCTGTCGTAACCTCCACCTGAAGAGAAAACAAACAAACAAACCAGAAATCCAGCTAAGCTTAATAATTAACCTTCTTTTGATTTCAATTCTGGTGTACCAATATAGCATTTGAAACATTTAAAACATATCAAGACATACCAGCTCACTTCCAGACAATTAGGCATTGCAGGCTGAAAGCAATCACATCTTAGAAAACCTTCTGAGCTAGGCAATGCAAGCTCTAGAAGGATAAACCCACGTGGCATTAGACACTGTTCAGTGAACATAGAGAGAAGAGTTATCCAGCATAAACAAGTGAAGCAAAACAACAAGGGAAAAAAACTAAAATGTATTTTGGGGTATATAAACTGTAGCTGATTTAAGCTGACATTCAGCCTTTATTTCCCCCAGTCAGGATTTTAAACTGTAATTTATTCCATGTATTTTAGAGGAGTCACTCCTGAGTCACCCTAGGAATAGATGTCAGGGAATGAAGGTGAGGGAGAGCAGAGGGCAGCTCTGAACAGAAAAACTTGTCGAAGACTTCTATTTCCAGTGTCCTTTTCCTTTTCTACACAGCTACTGCCATTTCTGCATCTTTTTGTTTTATAAATGTTTGAATCTGGCCCAGAGAGCTCTTGTTAAGAGCACATTAGGCTTTCACTGACATGTGCTGAACTTCCATTTGCATTGTAAGGAGTTGGAAACTATATTTTAAAAACAGTAGATGTAACACAGAGAGAGCTAACTCCACTGCTAGACATGGCACTCCTCAGATGTTCTCATCCCTAGTGGATGGTCCTAGGGAATGGTGGCTCTGCCCATGGCAGGAAGTAGATGACCTGGAACTTTCCAACCCAAGCCATTCTGTGATTCTACAATATGAGTTCTGTACATGCTTCAGTGCTTAGTTTTGGCTATAAACAAACAAATCTTCCTGATCTCTTTACAAGGACAAAGCACATGTAAAAGGAGAGGATCCTCCAGTGCTGTGAGACACACCAAGGCACCACACAAACCTTTAAAGATCTATTTATATTTATTTGAGTGTGACTGTGTCTCTGAGATGCATTCAGCTTGTTTCCTGACTCCTCAGGAAGGTAAAAATTCAATTATAAAGAGAAAACAGATTCAAATAAACCCCACCAGAAATACACACAGAGTCAGCACTGCCCTCACATAGACTCCAGGTGAGGCACTAACCCTGTTTAGTGGGGCTAAGTCTGCACCTAAGGATGGGACAGAGACAAAGAAATCTTAGTGATAACAACATGCTTTGTGGCTTTGAAGCACTTTTACAGTAACACAGGCATTGCTGCACTGCCTCTGAGAAAAGTGGTCGTGTCTCACACAGTGTCCAGTGCCAGCTGCTGTAACAAAGGCCAAAAGAAAACCTGCAGTAAACAGCTGGGGAATAATTTGCACAACATCTAAATTTTCCTGGTCAGGCAGCTCAGTTATGGTCAAAATTATGCAAGTTTAGGATCAAGTTTCCCATAAAGGCAGCAAAGATTTTTTTTTTTCTGTTCCACTAGAGGACAAGCACTGGTATAAGTTCTAACATCAGAAACAATTTGTCAGCTTCTCCCCCAAACCCACATATGACATGGCTCTAGACTCTGTCCTCTCTTTAACCACAGAACTATTTTCTCTTCTTTTTCTGCTTTAACCACACTACTTTGAAAACAGACCTCTCAATGCTCAGAGAAAAAACACACCTTAAAGTCTCCAACTTTTTCACTAAAGCAGCTAATGATTCATGACAGAACAAATAAAGCACTGTAATAAACCCCAGGAAATGTTTCCCTGCCATTACTCTGCTCCTGTCTCTATCAGGCACTTCACATAGGAGAACAGCATGTACTTTGCATATGTATTAACCTGAGCTTTTTCTTTTTCATTCAAAATGCAATAACTGATTTTTTTTAAAAAAATAATATCTTTGCTGATCAACAACCTTAGCAGTGTTTCAAGTTTAAAAACATGATTTAGAACAGCTTAGTAGGCAGAAAAAATCAATTCTGTTTGCTTTCCTTGGCAAAAAAAAAGAGAAGTAATTTTAAAATGCTTTTAATGAGCTTGGAAATAATCAGACAACACCTTCCAGCTGGAATGGCTGAAATGCTTAGTACATCATTACTTTTTTTCTTGAGCAGGAGAACTTCATGAGCATATTTTTTTTCCTGTTAGGATTAAAAGAAACCACCCATACCCACATAAACCCACGGACATTGAAATGAGATGACCAAGAGACTACTGCACAATAAGCTCCTTCAGACCATACAAACTGCAAGTAAAACAACTACTAGATGTGTATGTTATTGTTGTAGATGGGTGAGTGCGAAATAAGAGCAGCACCTGACACCAGCCAGAGCTGTGACAGGGCTAGACATTTCTTCTACTTCAAGAGCAGATCCAAGAAAAGTAGCTTACAAGCTTCTAAGGAGGATGGTATAATCCTGGCCTGGTTACAGAGCTGACTGAAACATGTTTGCCATCATTAACCACTTTCTGTTTCTGGTCTCACCTTGTCTGGACCATGAAAGAAGAGCTGATGGTCACCCTCATTAACTAAACTGAACTAGAAAACTGGGAATGATCTTCCTTGCTGCTTAGAAAGCACAAGGCATGTAAGTATTCAGAGAAGAGAACAATTTCCTTGTGTATCTTCTGGTAAATTATTTACTAAGATATAAATTTGTGACAGTTTTAATGTAAGCTTCACAAAGGGCTGTACCAAGAAATTAATTATACAGTGATCAGATCCATCTACCACCTGAAAGAAAGGCACAAATGAAGCACACTCCCCTGAAACCCCAAATATGATATTTCCTTAAGTGTAATGAACACAGAACAAACAAGACATGTCAATCCTAGCAGCATTTGCTGTAATATTTTTCCACAACAAGAAAATTACACTTTCTGAAATGGCAATTTAAACCACTAGAATTCCTGGAGATTATGACTGCTGCAAGAGCAAGCAAGACAGGAGTTTTTAATCCTCTTGTTTACAACAGCTCTTTGAATCTCTTCCAAAAATAACCACCTTTGCCAAAGCAGGGGCTGCCCTAGAGACAGAAGTCACCCTATCCTTTGTAAGCACAATGCCAGCTCTGTTTCCCAGACCAGTTGCTGGTTGAGACACTTTATCTTGTACCTTTCTAGTAAAGGTCAATGACAGATTAAGAACTCCTTTTGTCACAACTGAAAGGTGTAAACACTTCAAACTGAAAAAAGATCTGTTTAACAGCCTGTTTAGGCTTGGGTAGGGGAAGTGGTAGAAAAGTCCATTGGTTTATGTGCTATTTTTTAAAAGTAATGTTTTTACTAGATCATTTCTCTCTTGCAGTTTATTACAAGATGAATTTATACTTTAGTAGATTTTTTTTTGTTGTTGTTATTGTTTCTAAGTACCCTATCATGTGTGAAGTTCTCATGGAGACTTTAAAACCAGTAAGTTTGGATTGAATAAAGAACAAATAATTCTTTTCTGATTGTCATATTAGACACTTATAAAGTCCTGCTTGGTAAATAATTTCCCAAGGAAAAAATAACTAAGCCTTGCTAAATTTGCTTCACAACACTTTCACCAGGCATGGAAACCCTTACCTTGGGCTGGAGCACAAACCACTCATCGCCTTGATTTTCAAAGTTCCAGGAATCAAATGGAATTTCCACTTCCCCAAGGAAACTGTTGCGTCCAAATCTGTCATAGTGCCAGACAGAAAGCTGTAGGGTCCTGGTTTCCAGCTGTGTGTGACTGATGACATACTACCAACAGAAAAAGGGAGAAAAAAACCTCTCAGAATAAGCAGAAATACAAGTTTCCACTGAGCCTTCTACAGCTCTAGCTCAATTTCACAAAGCCCACAGCAGCTAGCAAATGAAGCATGAAAGAGAGATTTCTTTGCAAACAAGATTGATCTAGCCAGAAAGATCATAAAGTTAACGTGAAATAACTTTTCTCTGCAGTATGCATCCAGTGGTAATTTATGTCACTATCTTGGATTGTTGGGGGATTTTTTCTGCATTATTTACTGGGTATTTATGACTATAAAGTAAATTACAATTCTTGAAACTATGATCCTGTTAATTTCTTACAAGTTTATGTAAAAGAAGCAGATCAACATCAAAATTTAGTTCCTAAGAACCACCCCACAGGCTCTTTCAGCCCTAAGCAGAGTCTGGTCAACGCTACTTCCCTGAAAGCATCCTCTCCTTTCCAATTTTACCTTTGTCACTTAGGAAAAATTGCTCTGAAAACTGGTACTACTGCATCTGCAAGGCATGCACTGAACACATCAGTCTTCACAACCATTCTTGGTTTTGAAAGCCATTAAAAAACACCTCTGAAGAAACATCATAATCTAGCAAGCACACAGAGAATTATCAACACCTGGAATTCTAGCTCTGCACACACTGCTTTCAGCAAAAAGCCTGTTAGTTCCCTGAAATTCAGCCTGCTCCTAGTGTTAGCTGAAAAGACCCAGATGCCATCTTTATTGCATCAGAAACAATGTCTGGACATGGACACACTCTCCAAAAGCTGAAACAGTGAAGTTAGGTGGCTGTTAACATATAGATATGTCTACACTGCTTAATCCTAGATGCCAACAGTTCTGCTGTGAGAGACGTGTTTCACAACAATGGAATGAAAGTCAAAGAGAGAAGATGCAGATTCAATTCTTTTTCTTTGCTTTTTTTAACAGGACTTTCACTTGGGATGAACAGATGTAGCTCTTGCTTACCTATTACAATTCAAACAAGCCCTTTTTGTTAGAATTTGTATTTTGAAGGAGCTCCTAGGACTTATCCTCACCCAGCTCCCTACCAGCAAACACATTTAGTTCTATATTACTTGGTAAATAAAGTCTAACACCTTTTTTTTTCCAGTTCAGGAAACTCTAAACTTTACTGTATAGCATTTAAAAAACGAGGCTATAAAAGAGACTCTCCCTTGGCAAACTGTCTGGCCAGACCAAGTGTGTGTGCCTGCAAAATGGTTTTGTAGCCAGGTTAAGCCAAGTATACTAGCCAGGGAACATCTGTTAGCCTCTATTATAAGAAACTTACTTAGAACTGAAATGGCAAAAAAAAATAATTCAGGAGCAACTAAAAAGAGTTTCTGGCCTTATGACAACTGGCTGGATAACTCTCTCCCACTGACAGGAAGGGAAATCCTGTGATTGAGGTCCAGGTGACAGACAGACAGTGAACGGGGCAGAAACTCTGCCATTCCCACCTGCCCCAGAGCCAGGGAGGTGAGTAAGCATCTTGTCAAGAACTCAAAATAGTTCAGCCTCCACAGTGGACATGGGTAAAAGGCAAGGAAGGAGAGAGCCTGGGTGCTGTGTCCATTGCAACAGAAAATGGATTTACCACAGCCTTTTAGAAAGGCAAGTAGAGTAGCAGTTGTTGCATTTTCTTATCAAAGTCAGTTCTGCTTTAAAAAGAAATTAAAGCCTCCAGAAGAATTCAGATGTTACTGCAAAATGTTGTTTTCCCTTCAAAATCAGTTAGACTTGAAGCTTTAAGCTACCTTTACTTCAGCATCAGGTATACATCAGGTATAACAACTCTAAGCTCAGGTTGGATAGGAACACCAACAGTTTTGAAAGACATCTATGGGAACTAATAGAAGTTTACCTCTAAAGGGGTGAATCAAACAAAAACACCTCCTAAATGCTGAAAGGCAGAAATTGCAGCTCACAGGATTACTAGATATTTTTGCTTAAACACCTTCCCTTTTGAGGCATCTCTCCCAAATCCTAATCCCCATACTGGAACACATATGGAAAATACCAGTGAGCACAAGTGAAACATTCATCACAGCCTGAGAGAGACTGTTCTCACCTTCAGCGTTTCATTAAATTCTGGATTGGTGCTGTTACTTTTGATTTTGGTCTTGCGTTTACTCTGACGAGACTTATCAGGCAGAAGGTAAGCTTTGACATATCTGCAGACCAAGGAGAAAATTATTAGCAGGGAATAAAAAAATGACCACTTTCAGCAAAGACCTGATATTGCTGCATCAGCAACATATGGGAGGAAAATAATTTTTGCAGCACAGTGTAAACATGTAACAGAGAGGATGTGAAGCATGGGGAGGGATGGTCTTCAGCAGCAAACATAGCAGTGTTTGTCAGATAGGATCAGAACAACAAAAGGCAGAGCTGAAGTGATTTACTCATCCTCAGAAACGCAACAGCCTTTCCTAACACTGTCCCTTTTGCAGTATACAATTACTGACTGGCACATGACATTTTACTGACATTTGACAAAGTACTCACTGAAAGTACAAGCGAATTAAAACCTTCGTAATTTATATACTGTAGGATTACTGATGATTAGAGACACTAATTCTTACATTCTGATGAGAGAATTTACATATTATACTGAAAACTAGAATGAGAAACACAGAAAACATGGTACATGCAGAGTCTATGGATGCATTAAAAAAAAGTCATTCCTATCCTTCCCTCCCTCACTGCAAGACATCACTCCTCTCACATATTTTAGTTTTGATTCTAGAAGTAAAAAATAAATAAATGCTGCCTTCCTATTCTTTTATATTTTTGCCCTTTTACTATCCAACAGCTTGATAATTTCAGTAATCTTGTTGTTTCACCAGAACAGGGACATGGTGCCCTAAGAAGCAAACAGAAAATGTACTTCCCACAGGAAACCCAAAGCCAATCACCACCAAAGTGCTGCCTTGGGGCAAGTGGATCCTGTGAACTCACAGGCTCATGTCACAACCCCACACTCCAGTGAGAGACGAGGTACAGAGCTCCCCTAGCAGAGTTTAAAGACATTTTTCCCAGTGCTTACGGGTCAGTCCTTTGCTTCCTCTCGTCTGCAATGGCCAGGTTTCTGCAGCTCTTCACCAGCACGTTGAGAGCACCTGTTTTGTAGATGTAGCTGATGCTGAGGAGGATTTCCCCACTGACCTTCACGTTGCCATAGTCACCAGTCTCACTGTATACACTCAACATGCTGTTAATGCTGGTCTGGAGGGGCAGAGAAAAAGGACTTAGAGGTTGAAACAAAGGACTCTTTTCCAGCATCTACGTTGTGTTTTTTCACAAACCTACAGCCTTGCACTATTATCATGCTTGTTAGGGCTTGCTATGAACACAGACACATCATGGAGTAGAAATGCCACTGTTTGATGTAGAAGGGAATAAAAACTATAACTAATAATAATTTAAATGTCTAGACAATGTTTTTCCATGCAGGGCTCAAACCTATTTAAAAATATGACTAAATCTTAATTGCCACCATTCAATGTATGAACTGAAGAGCAGACAGGCTACATAAACTGTAAGCTCAAGTGAGTTCCAAGCACAGAAAAAAAAAAAAATCACCTCTCTGGCTCAGCTGGTCACCTAATTTTTCCTGAGACTCATAAGCCAACTACTGCCATCACCCTTAGAAAAACTTATAAGGATGCTTGCCATAATGAAGATGGTATAAACTCATGTTTGTTTAAAGTGACACCCATCTCTCATTATCAATTCTAAAGGGAGGAGCAAAATTCAAACCCACCACTTCTGCAACTTTTTAAAAGCCAAAAGTGTTTAGTAATAATCCCACAAAGTTTTCCACTACAACATAATCTATCATCCTTTTTTTCCCCACTCATAAGATGCAGAGTATTGGTCTAAGGATTTCCTCTTCCAAAAGTTTAGGAAAGCACTAAATATTTTTAAAGAAAACCAGAGCAAAGTGCACAGTGCCAAAACCAAAAGCATTCAAGAAATCTGGCACATTTCTCTCTTTGGAGTCATTGAGTAAGACTGTCCAAAAGCATAGATAACCATCTAAACCCTAACACATAGAAACCTTGCAAGACACACAGATAGAGTCTTCAACAAAAAGGGAGAAAAGAGAGGGAAACCTTAAAAATAAGCTAAGCAGAGGATTCAGGAGAACTCACAGTATCACCATCTGTTTCAGGCACATTTAAATATGTCCATTTTCTGTCAGAGCTTTCTGGGGAGTTCTTTAAAGAAGGCAGTGCAAAAGATCAAGAGAAAAGAGCATTAGATTGCTGCAATAAGAAAGAATAAGTGCAGTGAGAAATCTTTACCTATATAGGCAGGTAAAGGAAATTTGTGCCGCAAAGCTATAAGTGAGAAAGAAAGAAAAAGGATATCCCCAAATCAGAGAAATGCTGTTTTCCATATACTTCAAGTACTGAAGGATGCACAGTTCACTCTAATTAAATAGAAATGAGGTATCTGCTGTATCAAAATAAACCAATTGTATTTTAGAACACCAACTCAGCAGATCTGGATTCTTATTGAATTTGGTTTTGTCCTCATTTTTGTCTACATGAAGTCTCTCTCCCCTGAAGCTAGCCAAAAGTTAGCATTCATATGTCTGCAGGATTGGCACCTTTGTAAGAAAATGCAGTTTCTCTGTGGAGTTTGTAAGAATAGATGAAAAACGCACACAAATGTCGAAACATGTCACATTTTGGGAAAAAAAATACAGCAAATTAATATTGGCAGAAACATTTTCCCCCTCTGCTTGCTAGAGTAGGATGTTGAAATCTCACCAAGGCCTGAAGGGAAACTCTATCTTGATCTACACCTCCTTCCTTACCTGCTGTAGGGAGAGGGCTGGAGGGATAAACAGATCCATGTGAATATGGGAAACAACAGACATGAAAAACCATTATTTATATGAGCAGTAATTACCCATAAAGGTAATTTTATACACTGTGTAGGGTAATAAACAACAAAAAGGTGTTTTCAATGTATTTCTGCTGGCCTCCTTTAGCCTTAATTTAAGGAAAAAAAAAAGAAAAAATGCTTGTCCTTTTAATCCTTTGTATAACTGGCTGAAATTCCATGAGCAGGACTGGTTAAAATTACTGGAAAATTGTCAATATATACTGACAAATGTGTCATATTTCCTCCTATTCCTAACATGCCTTGAGCTGAATTCCAGCCTTACCATTTCTGCATTTCCAGCACTAGTGTACATGGAAATGGGTATCCCTGGACACTGTTAGTGAACATAACAGTTCCAGTATGTGCTACAAAATGCCTGAATTATCCCTGTAACAATATATGTGGCCACTTCAGAAAAAAAACAAGGTTACATCAACACAAGGAAGTGGATGAATTCTTCTCTACTGAATCCAAATACATTTTCCTTCAATCTTTAGGTAATCAGGCAGTGAGGGATAAAAGACTGGAAAAAAACCCAAATACACCAGAAAGTTCTAAACAAACAGATGACTTCTGACCCTAGAATTTATGCAAACACAATTTCTGAATTGCTTACAAGCCACAAACAAAATTACACATATTTAGTAGAAGTATTTAATATACTTCACCTCTTTTTCCTCCCCAGACTCTGTTCTGTAGCATTTACACTGGACATTACGTACACTAAATGTAAAGTTCTGAAGAAATATACTCAAATTCCAGTTTTATAAGTAGCAAACAATGACCACATATGGAGGATGCAGAGCCTCATTTTTGTGCCACACTAAGAATTATATTTCCTTTGCATCATATCTTATTTCTGCAGCAAAGCACTGGAACAATTTAGTCTTATTGATGTGATGGGTCTTGACAACACCACAAATATGTGGAGGATGAAGGGTGAAGGAATATGAAGGACGCAGGGAAAACTAAATACACAGTTACATGTATTAGTGTTGGGAAAACACAAAGAAAAATCCTCTACCACTGAGATACAATTTCTCTTCAACGTCACCTCCCACTTCCATTTTTGTTCACTCGTGTTGCAGGTGGATTTCCTTTTATCCTTTACGATAGTTCTTCCTTTCCCTCAAACACTCATTGTCAGACTAGACATACTTTAAATTCTCAGATTTGAAAAAAAGAAAGAAGACAAAAAAAAGAAGAAAATCCATGCAGCATGAGCCTGCTATCCATTAATAACATTATTTCCACATGACTTACTAGTACACAGTCACTTCACAGAGAGTCTGTGAAAAAAATCCATATGGTCAAGAAGGGTCAAAGGTTTAAAACGATCAGAGTGAAGGTAGAGAGAGAAGGGAAATCACAGAGAGCGAAAAATGTTAATAACTAAAAACACTTTTAAAGGGAATTACAGAAAATAACCTGTAAAACTGACCTGTTTTGCAGGGAGAAGCAGTTTGCCACTCGCAACTTTGCCATTAACGTCGCATGCAGTGACATTAAAAATCATGTCACAGTGAATAAGGAGAAACGAGAGCATTGAGATGTGAGATTTTATCAGACCTACAGGGCTGGAAAAGCTGTGCTCTGCTTAAGAAAAAGGTCAGAGGGAAATCTACAGCAAAGGCCAAAACCCAGTGCACAGACAGAGCATTGCCTACAGCACAGAGGGAAGGGTCTCTAATGCAGCTCCTCAGTTTGTGGCCTAAATGGAGAAAGCACTTAAGTACCTGTAACCCTCCTATCAATATTCAGAGGAAATAAGAATAATTCTGTCTATAAATCCATGGGACCAGCAAGCATTGGAGACAATGAGACCGAGCCAACCTCAGGTAAGGGGATCTGGTTAGACACAAGGGAGATGTGCAGCCCTTCAAACCAAATCAATCCTGAGCACATGTACCCTGTTGACTCTGCTCTATTTCTGTGGAAACTACACATATCAGAAGGAAAAATGGTCTGGACATAGTCAGATATAAGATACCAAAATGCTCTGTGATGACAATATTCTCAGTCCTTCCTCCTCCTCCTCCCCACGTAAGTCAAGCTTGGGTTCAGCCACATCCATCTTTTAGGGATAAAGAACTTCAGTGAGGATTCCCTGGGCCTTGCTTGTGTGAGGACTAATGGGGATGCAGTCTAGAAAGGACAGTTCATTGGTTATTGTCACAGACCAAATTTTCTCTTCCCTTTCAGTATATACACTCATTATCTCTCGTCATCCTCTTCAACACTCTCACATTCTATGTGGAGTTTGTTGCAGTTTTCTGATGTTCTATATGCTGCCCAGAGCTATTCTTAGACACAAGTCATATAGAAAAGATGAAATTTGCTGATGAGTATGCAAAATAGTTTTGTCTTTCCATGCATTGCAGAGAACAGCATTAAAAATATAACAGAAAAAACTATCTTAATGTTAAAGGTTATTTCTCAAGTGCAGAATGAAATATGATCTGCTGCTAAGTGATATGAAGTTAAATTCCTTTTTGGAGGAAAGATGGACTTTTGCAGAAGGAAAAGACATGTTTTCTACTCAAGATCTTACTGTTGATAATCCACTTGTGATATGTTCCTGTTTTCTTGAGTAACGAGAGGCCACTATGTCATCAATATCTTCTTCAGTTTCATCCAGATAATCCTAAAAAACAAAGAGGGGTTTTAGTTGTCATATTCTGCTCTGTATTGGGTCACCCTCTGTCACTTAGTTCTGTTTAATTTATTTCCCACTTTAGGAAGACAGTGCAGGATGTATTCAAATTCTTGTCTCTAGAGGAATTTTGATTTACGCAATGGGTTCAAATCGAAGGAGGGGAAATTTAGGTTAGATATAAGAAAAACGGTTTTTACTCTAAAGGTGGTAAGACACTGGCACAGGTTGCCCAGGGAGGCTGTGGCTGCCCTGACCCTGGTGGTGTTCAATCCAGGCTGGATGAGCCTTGAGCAACCTGATCCAGTGAGGAGGTGTCCCTGCCCAGGGCAGGGGTTGGGATGGATGATCCGTAAGGTCCATTCCAACCCTCAAATTCCATGTGCTTCACAGAGCCCTAATGACTGCTAGCTGACTACCAACTTTTGCCTGCGAGCAGACACCTGAAACTGAAGAAAAAAAAAATAGGTTAACATTTAACCTATACTCCTATTTCATTTGGCACCACAATGATTATGTTTCTCGGGAGGTGTTACAGAACTGCAACTACATAATTGGTTAGTGTTATTACCTTATTAAAGTTAGAGCTCATAGGACATTAATCTCCTGGTCTCCAGTGAGGGTTATAAAATGCACATCATCCAATTCTGAAAGTGCAGCTGAGCATGTAATGAACACTGCTTGGTCAGGAATTCAACACACACCTGTCTAGATAGGGTGTTCACACTTGAACACAACACTAGGTTTAAGTGGTTCCTTGTGCTCCTTGGAAAATGCATAACCACATTGTGTGGGGTTTGGGGGGTTGTCCCTTTGCACTATCAAAAGCAATATTAAGTCAGAGAAGCAGAACATCCATTCAATTTCCTAGCTAATGTCTCTGCATGTGTTATGGGTGTTCCTGATAAAAATATTTTCCCATTCTTTCAGCTGATAAACTCCAGCATCTGCATATCCTATTGACATGTGGCATCTCCCACCTCACCACTGTGAGCTCCCATCACCTGGAAATAAGGAGCTGAAGGACCTCAGCTGGCTCCACCAGCCAGCTAGGAGAAAAGGTGATGTAACTTTTCTCAGGCTGCAGGAGCTGTTGCTACCTTCAGCAGTTATCTTTCTCTGTCTCTTATATCTAGCATCAAAAAAACTAAATTCCAGCAGGAACACAGCTTTTATTTCAAAACACTGCATCAGGAATGAATGTAGGACAAGGTTCTAAAGAACTCCTGTGAGTCAAATTACCCTAAAGAAATGTGGTAACATTAAAGCTGATGAAGGCAATCAATTAATTTCATAAGGCAGAGAAAACAAGGATATGGGTAAATCAGAGAGCAGTGAATCCTGTTGTGAATGAAGTTTAAAGGGGAATTGGCACTCTCACAGACCCTGGAGCAACTAAATCAAGGTTATGCCACAAGAGATGTCTCCTGTGCAAGCAAAGGAGCTAGAGAGCTGCTGAGGTGCAATCTGAAATTTCATTCAGAGTCAGCAAGAAAGAAAACCAAAAAAAATTAGATTAAAAACCCTACCTCTGAATAAGAGGAAGACAAAAATCAAAGAACAGAAAACCTCTCTGGACTTGTCATCTCTGGCATCTGCCTCAGAGAAATACCTAAGCAGTAACTATCACACCCTGTACAATTAGAGCAGCAAACTGATACAAAGATATTTGAAGTCTGTATTTTCTTATTTTATGCTTTTCTTCTGCAATGTCTTCCAACTTCTTAATAAAAACCACATTCTTTTTCTTTACTACAATTGAAAAATAAACCACTTATTTTTGACACTTTTCTTCCACAGACATCTGACACACAGGGAAGGGCTTTTGTTAATTCCTTAAAGATTAACTCAGAACAATGCTGCAGGCAAATTCTGACTGCTTACAGTCCAAGAAACAGAAGGAAATCCCAACACATTGTTTTCCACTAAGCCACAAGTAGCAAACACTACAAGAAGGGGAAACATCTCCCATGGCCAATGCTCTTCTGAAAAGAGCAGATGGTAAGGTAGGATTATGACAATACACAAAATGCACAAACTACAAGCAAACATCTGGAAACTTTAGAACAAAATAAGATCAGATGAAGAACTATATAAATAACTCTTTTTTGCCCCCCACTCATGCATATTTAACAAGCTTGGATATTCTTTTATAGCACCAATGCACATCTGCAAGTTGCCTATCTTGGATATGTGCATAAGAGGAGAGGGAAGCTGTGAATCAGTTCAGGAAAAGCAGCCCATAGATTGCATAGGAAAAGGCATGGAGATGTATGGAAGAGTCAATGGGAAGAAGAGGCAAGCAACAGTGGCAGAACAGAAAGTTGGGTCTTCATTTGCTAAAAATATAGACAAAGATTAAAGCCTTTAAAAATACAGAATTTCTCAGCATCTGTGAGAGTATGAACTAACAGAAGTTTGGAGTATGTGTAATTTCGTGCTTGGAATTTATTTTCAGACTAGATTCCTTTCATCTGTGAATTCAAAAAAACAGGAAATTAATGACAAACTGGTACCACAACTATTCATGGAAATGATTCTATAGCCAACATACTCAGAATTTGACACTGTTTAAAAACATGGTAAATATCCCTGAAATAGTGCTCTGGATTACTCGTGTTTTACACAGATATAGATGCAGTGCTGATTTCATGAGTATGAATAAACAGAATTTCCACCAGATAAATATTTACATATTTTTAACTCACCAGTCCCTGATCTAAGGCACTAGGTACAGACTTGCTTCTTGTGCTCAGAGTATCCTCATTACCTTCAGAGAAAGATTCACTCAAATCTATCTCAGATCGGCTGTGGTCTGGAAAAAAAAAACAATTTAAATATTTGCTAGAATTTGTACAGAAATACTCCATTTCATCTTCCATACAACTATTGCCCCAAACCCATTTTTCTTTTAAAGAAAAAACCCTTCAAGACAGTATTTTAGTTTTGTGTAAAAAGCTATGACAAAAGAATATCAATATGATAGATGGACAAATATGTTTTCTGGTGCTGTTCAGCCCTCTGGGCAATAATTTTTCTCCTGCACTATATATCTGCCGAGATTGTCTCCTGTGGATGATACTATAGAACTAACCTTTGACTTTCTCTGGCAGGTCTGTCAGCCTGGAATATTGCAAAACTTGTCATCCAAGTGTTTGCAGTGATTACAACTTCTACCACCACTACCAAACTCTCCCCAGCATCTGTTTCAAGCAACTGGGGATATAGATGGATGTACAAAGTACTTCTGTCACTAATAGTGATCCCTGTGCAGAGTGTGAGGAAGCAAACAAATCTTGAGACCTGCAAGTTTCTTTCTGTCTACAGGTCTCTCATCCACTCCATAGGCATAAGACATTGATGTCTCGGAGAAAGATTTTCTTAGTCCTCCCCATATAAATTTTTTGTGTGACTGTTTCAATATATTTGGAAAGAAAGAGGGGAAAAAGAATATTTTTAGATCCTGCAGGAAGGAATCTGGAAAGTTTCTACCTGGTCTATAGTTGATGTGACAGGACAGGTCACTCTCCTAAGCTTTATGTCCTTTTTGATCAGTGAACAAGGAGACCATGAAGAATCTGAGAACTGGTCCCAGTTTGCCTACAACTCTGCTTGTCATCCATCTGCTTTGGTACCACAAGGCCAGTTCTTATTTACCAGGAAAGCCTTTATTTTATAAGGTAGCAGGAACAGGAGAATTTTCACTTCATAAAGAAGTAACCACCTGTAACACCTCTGCCAGGAGCTGCACTGTACAATACTTTCAAAGAAACTCTGATGCTTTCAAGTTGCAATAACGAAGGTAAAGAACATTACCTCCTTTGATTAGCCCTGTGGGATACACCACTGGGTTTCTGCTTTGGGCTAAATTCAGCTGCAATAAAGTGAGTCCTGCTGTGCTTCAGAGAGAAACCTGTAGACCCAAACGCCCTCCATGAGCCATGGGAGGCTGAGTGAGTGCCTGGGAGAGGCAGAGGAGTGCAGGGTGTACCTGCCTCCTATTTCAGACAGGAAAAGGAAGATCTCCACCAGTTGCTGCAAAGAGCATGTGATTTACCCAATACTACCATTGTGCCAATGTTACTGGAGTTAGGATGGGCATTTTTTCAAATGTAAAACTTCTGAAGTTAGTTAAGCTTGGTTAGTAAAAGGAAGAATTTAGGAAACTTAGTCTGACCTTTTAACATGTTTTAAAAACAAAAGCAGCAGAGTTACAAGAAAAGGAATAATCCTCTGATGATAAAGGCTGGCAGAACAAAGGAAAAGACTCAATACTTGCCTGATGACAAAGATACCCTAGAAATGGCAATGGAAGGTGTTCCAGATGCTTTCCTACAGTGCTTCTTTACTAAATCTTCAGGTACACTTTCACTTGCTGGAATAATCATGCCATTTTCTAAGCCAATGTCCTGCCAACAAGAAAAAAAGGCACATCCCATGAATACAAAAAGCAAGTTTATTCACTATCAGGCTATGAAAGCATCATTTCTATTAGCTTCCAAAACTCCAAAGCTCCTTCAGCATCCAGTCTATCACCGAATATATTTAGATTCCAATCTAATCTGTTTAGCACTGATCATGCATAAAATTTGCACAGAGATGTGATCCATGCTTACTTTCTGAGTTTACAGCTGAAGAATCAGAGCAATACATCAGGAGTGAGAGGAGGGAACTGAATACTCAAATCTATTAGAAGTTCACTTATCTCAGAAATTTCAAAAATAAACCAAACCAGCAACAAAGAAAGAAAATACAAAACTCATGGGTTTTATATCAGCATAATGATTTCAGCTAGGGTAGAACTAGATGGACTTGAACTAATTAAATTATGCCAGTATAACCCCTTAAATAAAGCCAATATGCTTGATATCATTATGACTTTTTACCTTCCTGTAAAAGAATAGCTAATGACATAACTTCACCTAAATGAAATGCATTTTTCAAACAAATGTAATGCACTTGAAAACCAATTAGTCTATGTGCCAACAGGAATATAAAGAAAACAACTTAACTTATTTACAGCTCCCAAAACTGCCCTTCATATATATTAACTTATATTTTTTATTAGCAAAGGCAGTGTATTAGACCAAGTATTTGGAAATTAGAAAGAGAATCAATGCATTCAATCTCAAATGCTCATCTGGTTTTCTCCAAACATTAATGGTAAAAGGCATAACCTCTGACCATAAGTTTTGCTTTCCTTTGACACATAGAAAACCTTGCTAATACAATCCTGATTTCCCAAGAGGGCTGACTGTAATGAATTTGGGATGGGTGTCTCCATGCACAGCCAGGAGGAGATGTTTGGCAAACAGGCAGGTTGTCTGGGAATGAAGAGACTCTCTGCTTCTGGCTAGATGAGCCACATCCTTCTGAGGATTACAAAACAGCCCACGAGTCTAGCTCAGATGTGGCTACATCCATCCCAAGAGGCCCAACAGCAGGGAAGAGGAGTCATTCTGATAACATGTCTAAGGCACATTTTGTGTTACGGCATAATTTATGCAGAGTTCATTGTCCAAATCCAGAAAAAGCCAAAATCAGTTTGGCCTGATCTTCTTGCAAATGCTGAACTTGCAAAGTTTCCCTCAGCAGTGAGTGGGAGCATGCTGGACCCTGCAATGCTTGAAAATCACAGCCTTAGCTCACAGCACTTGCTCAAGGCTCTGAAGTGCCAAAAATGCTTATTCCTATCCCTTGCACTGCCTTGATCAGAATCTGTAACTCATTAGGCAATACTGGACATCAACAGCAACTTTTAGACAAAAGAGAAAAATCTGCCAAACCAAAAACTACATCACTGATAGAGCATGACAAATTCTATTCTAGTAGAGATATTCACTGGTCCCAGCAAGAATTAAGGAAGAAATAAGATCTTCCCTGTCAGTCTTGTCCTTACTGGGCTGCAAATTGATCTAACAGGACAGGTACCAGGCAAGTCATCTTGTTTGGTGTCAGCTCCACACCCCTGACTTACCCTGCTGTAGTCTGCAGTCATGCTGCGTGTGCTGAGTGCTGGAGACCTGGGAAGGGAAGGTATGGAAACAGCTCCTCTGCCTGCAGGACCCACAGCCCCTCTCACATGTCCTGCAGTGGCCTCTGCTGAGTGCTCCCTCTGGGATGGGGAGAGGAGTATAAAGGCTTATTGCTTTGAGCAAACCAAGATAACACATTTAGCAAAACAGCTCTTTCTCCACAAACACCAGTTTTCAGTTTTCTTCACAATTCAGAGATATCTCAGAAAGTCTTGCAGGATAGTAAGAGGATCTGCACACAGTCTTACTTACTGCATTAAAAAAATAAATTACTAGTAAATAGGAATTGATGAAGGAATTGTAACTTCTTCATATGGAAAGTCTGGTGTCAGATGACCATAGCAGTGCAAATTTGCTGCAGGAAACTTTTGGAACTTGCAGCATCTTGCTCAATAAATATTTCAGACTTGCAGCATCATCACTGTGCTGGACAACTGCTGAATTTCATCTGCACTCAGTTTAGGCTGTTGTGTATCATGTTTGGAGTAACTGCAGTATAAATCTTCTCTCTCACAATGTAAACTTTTATTAGAACTACTATTAAAATGAGAAAAAAATATTATCACAGCAGCTCCAGTCTCACAGCTGCATTAAGCAATGAGCACAGGCTCTGAATCCACATTGGTAGAGTTATTGAAAACAAGGAATACAAAGGACAATTCCCAAATACCAGGATTGTCCAGAAGTGTTGTGCAATCATGTTTTTCTTTTTTAGTGAGCATATGGTAACTCTTTTAACAATAGTCATCCAATTTCAGCAGCCTGCTCTGGTGGGAGGGGTCCTGGCCCCTGACAGGGGGTTGGGACTAGATGATCTCTAAGGTCCATTCCAACCCTTTAGCACAATATGATATGACACTCACCTCTCAGAACGTGGTGCTGACTTGCTGTTATGCAGACTATGGGTTTCAGCTTCATCTTTTGTGTAAGTAATTTCTCCTTTGGTAACAGCCCTGATTACTTTCCTGATGAAAACAGGGAATAAAAGATTTTTCAAGTTGTACGTTTTTTCCCCAGGAAACAGCAGCCTGCTGGAAATACCATGATGTGCACATTCTATAATTTCATCTGTCTGACCTATGGACAACTCTGGATATAAGGGTCAACAGACCATCAAGTCTGGCTACCAAATTGATTCCTGTGGGAGGAAAAAAAGCAGCATATTGATCACAAACTGCTTTTTAATACACCAAACATCCCTCCTATTCAACATGGCCACTTCAAACTTTGAACCAGAAATGCCTTTTGTGAAAATTTGTCTTTTTTTTTTATAGTTTATAGATAGCAAAGTATTTTTGGCTAAGTATGTGTATTTGCCCCAAGTAAATTATGCTACATGCATTTTCTCTGAAAGAAATTTCTGCAGTTATATGCATCAATGCCCCAAATATGCTATTTTCCAAAAACACAGCATCACCCCCTTACCCTGGAATAGATGGCCTAATAGGACAGAAATGAATGGAACTAAATAGAGTTTTGAAAAGAAAAAAGGAAATTCTTCATAATCGTACAAATAATAGATGTTTAAATTTTCCCTTTATCCTGTGAGTAGCAGTTGGCCCAAAACCAGCCTTGCTAAAACAAATCCACTCATAAGATACACAAATGTGGAACCTGAAGGAGGAAGAAGATGACGAGGAGGAATAATGAACTGCTTCTAATTGAGGCCACAAAAATATCCTAGGAAAAATAAGCCAAATTCTTGTAGGATTAAATTTCTGTTATGAGGAATATCAACACCAGAAAATATTTTAGGCCACAAACAAAAAAAGACTGAGCAGCACTAAAATAAACAACAGACAATTATAAAAATAATTGTTTTGCATAGGGGAATATGACAAATCCATTTGCATGAAGGATTTAAATGAAGGAGGATTAGAAAAGTAAAATTTAAGGCCCTCTTACTGTAGCTACCAACTAGCATGACTTAGAGCAACATCTAGGTCCTGATATAGTAGGATTTCTAAGGTGGTTTTTTCTTCACCTTAATTTGAGAAACCAGACATTCCGATGCTCTTTTTTCCTATATTAGAGAGATGTGTTCATTTCTGGAGTCACTGGAACAAGGAATTCCATTCTCTGCTCTCCCCAGAAGTCAAAATGCTGCAGAAAGCTATCCACCCACCCTACATTTAGGATCTATAATAAAAATGTGTTCTTCCTTTCAACAGAAACCAAGTTTTCCAACTATCAGCCCATGGAGCTCCAGCCATGACACGAACATCCATCCAGTTTTTCTTTCCACTCACCGAAGAGCAAGTTAGATCCAGACAGCACTTGTGCAACTATATATTAAATTTATCTGTCCATGTCACCCTGAGAGTAGGCAAGTGCTCCTCTAAGGGCATAGCCAAACTGGGGGTAAACACATCACTGGGACTGCAAGAGGCCCAGCAGCATTTCTGTTTGGTCACTGCCACATGCACACTGTTAGGCTTGACTTGTGAGCAAAACTGACCAGTATACATGAAAAAATGGCCCTCTAAATACTATTTTTTGCATTTGCTTATTCAGCAAACCTGCCTTTAAGGACACTGTTACTTCTGAGTATAAACAAGAGAAATCCAGGGGTAAAATTGACTTTTTTTTTCCTGCTACCTTTATAGCTGAAGAGTAATTGCTGCTGCATTTCCTAGGAAACAGCAATCTAATTATAGTAAGTATGCCTTTAAATGAAGGCTGTTTCTAACCCTGGGAAATTTAAGACTGATGTAGAACACTAGAAAAACTCAAAAGAAAATCTATCCAGCCATATACAGCTGTTCTTGGATTTATCAGTTAAAAAAAAACCCAAAAAACAAAAAAGAAGCAAAGGCTTTACCCTATCTTTCTAGGCCTGCTGAAGACTGATTTGTGCCCATTTGTGGAGGAGGCTGATACATCTGACTTTTTTTCCTCATTCTCTTGGGGCTGATCCTTGAATGTTCTTTCTTCATCTGTACTGGACACTGTATCTGCAGTGGAAGGGGAAAGAAACTAAGAGGTGAATGTTTGCACAAAAACATGGCACACGTCAAGCAACCTACAAAAAGAGATTTTCTATTTTTTTATTTAAAAAAAAATCCATTGAATAAAATATAATGAAAAAAACCTTGGAGGTTCTTTGGCTTTTCCTTTTAATTAATGAAAATAAAACTTTAAGTAACTTGAGATCTTTCTCAGAGTTGAAAAAGAAAAATGGAGCACTTTTTACACACCACCATCACAAGTAAGAGAGCTCAAGTCAAAAAAAATGACTGGGTTTAGATGTCTCCATGCAGCCAAACTGCCTGGCAGGAACTGAGAAGGAAGTTTCAGAGCCTCTGCTGCTGACTTTGCAGCTCACCTGTTTGGACAGAGAGTTTTTCAGCAGCTCTGTGTCCACAGAGATACTTCCTTCATATAGACCTTACCTTGCCTGTATATTAATCATTCATAAATCACTGCACAGTAAGACACAGATACAAAATTAAGATTAAAATAGTGATTATACTTATGACTTACAGCAGTCAGGAATAAAATACAAGACAAACACTCAGAAAACAAGGTTTGAACATCCTAAACCCAAGCAAATCTCTCTCTTGAGGTCCCTACCTGGGAATTTGCGTAGGATAGATTCTCTGACAACATCAGTTCCAAGATTTGATTGTTTGAAGCGCTTTGCTCTCTCTTCAAAAAACCATTCCCCTGTTACGATCCGGAGCTCTCTGTACAGGGAAAATTAAAAAAATCAGAGACATATACACATTAGCAAACTTGTCCAACCAAAGCTACCACTCCAACCCTTACGTCATCATTCAACTCACAAATCCGGGACAACAATTGCACAGTTCACAATAAAGAGTAAAGAGATTCATTCTAAAGCTTTGGATAATAGGACATGTAGCAGAAAAAAAGCATCTTACTTTGTGAATGAAATGTAATTTTCAGTACATGGAAATTTACTTGTCGAAAAAGTGTTTCAACTCCTCTTACCAGATTTCTGCAAAAAACATGGAACATACTGTCATCCTAGCCCTTTGGGTAGTGAACCACTCCATGTCACAGTTTTTAGTATCTCCAAAACAACAAGAGACATAGAAAGAGCAATAGTGTACAGCGGGAGAAAATCCCCCCCCCCAAAGCTCCTGACAGCCAGGTCAGCAGTTCACAGACCCGGCCTGGTTACAGACAGGTGGCTGCAAGTCTGTGTATATATTTTTTCATTTCTAGCTTTACATGCTGACACTATATGCAGTTTCTTCACATGACAGTACTGCTATGAATTAACCATGTGCCAGAGCTTCAGAGCAATGAACATTTGTCTTTGCTACTGTTCTGGATAATGCTACTTCTTCTGCTTTCCAATTCTTTTACCTATACTAGCAATCAAGGAAACCTGTACTGGCTTTGCTGTTTTCTATGGGGATATTTTTATGCTGATTGTTAGCCTTTTCCTGAATCAGTTTCATTATGGCACAGCATCACCAGTTCTACTGCCTCACTACATACTGTTAATAGCAGAAAGCTGCTAATCATGAATACTCAAATAGAAAAGCAAATAAACAAACTAATAAACCCCAAACATTTAAAACTGATTGAGCTCCAGACGTGTTCCTGCTTACTGTTCAGCAAGAAAACTTATTTTCAGACCTATAATCAAGAAGAAATAATCTCGTCTCTTGGGCATGAAAATTACTACAGATGGATTTAGAGCACTGATCAATATCTATGCTATTAAATTATTTTTGAGACACGCCTGAATGGAGAGTCTTACTTGAGAAAACACTAAAAATTACAGAATTGCATCCTGCCATTGGTGAAAAGACCCTAACATTATCAGGTCTTCCTAACCTATTAACCGATCATGCATCTTTGCATGACTCACTAAAAGAAAAATAATTGAAAAAATCAAAATCCCAAACATGTGTCCAGCAGCATAGAAACAGATTATTGCCTTATCTTGTTGCTGCAGACTCATAGTGATCATCACAATCACTCAGTCATTATGCAAGGCATTAAATCTCAATGTTTCCACTGAGAATTTTTAAATGACTTCTGCTGATCACAAACACTGGAAAGGATTCACTTCATTACAAACTATGCACGGTCTGGCTAGTCTGGCTTCTAAAACCAAAAACCAGTGTTTCTCAGAATGTGTATTTTCACAATTCATTTGCATAGTTATTTTATATCAAGATTTACAGCATGTTTGATGCTTTATGTCAAACCACGAACCTTTCAGACCTTTCACCACACCATCATTCATTCACCATCATTTATATTGCATTTAGAGTCTCTCTGGGCTGACCCCTTTATCTTCTGGCAATAGGTAAGTAAGAAATCAACTTCTTTTACTAATCTCTCCCTGCCATCTGTAACCTGTCACCATTAAACAGCCCCAGCCAAGGAAGTTTGGGGTCATCCCTGCATTCTCTGGCAAAACAACTGGATCCCCAAGGAAAGAGGAAAGTGCAAATTCCTTTTGCAGGTCTGAATGGGCAAGGGAGTGTGACTGTTCCTACACTGCTGGAGCTGAACCACGTGCCCATCCAGGTAATGATGGCAAGCTGAATTGCCCATCTTCTTCACCAGACTGATCTTATTAAGCAGTAACAAGATCCACATATCCATCTGAGGTGCCAACTCCTTGGCAGGGCTGCTTTGAAGAGGCTCACACGTGTTCTGCTCTGAGTTCACCGAGGTCTGGGGCAAAACACAGACAACTCCCTCAACTGAAGCACTAAACATGGCAAATAAAGGGAGTATTGCCTTGTTTTATTTAAGTGCTTCACCTCTCTGGACAACACTGTTTATCCACAGTGAAAGGCAAAAAACAACAGCCACCACCAGATGACCCTTGTGAGTGCCACATGACACAAACCTAGAGGTCTCAGCCTTCACTTCAGACCTTCATCCTTATTTTCATCAATGCTACTGTCTGTCTAGGGATCCTGATTCAACTGGCAGACCTTTTTTTTTTTGTGCAAAAATCCTTACCCAACAGATCTTCTTTACAAAACTATCACATTCTAAGGAAATAAGCTTTGCAGCTTTGAATTTCTAGCTCACTACTACTGGGTGTGTTTCATGTACACTGAACAATTCACACAAAGACTAGTGCTCATGTTATTTTAATCACTCATACATGTCAGCAGTACCTATTAAAAGAATTTTTGTTCTACACATAAATAGAAACGACTTCAGATCTAATGATTTTCTAAGTCTCTGACTTGAAGCTTGAATTTCATAATTGCATTTGACATTCTGAATCAAAAATTGGAGAGTGAAACCTAAACAGTCTTACAGTGATGTTATTTTCATGCATTTATAATTATGACAAAAGGAGTCTGTCTTTCCTACTGAGATAGTTCTCTGTGTTCTATTTCTGACACAGGACTGAAATGAGCTCTTTCCATCTGAATGATTGATTGAGTGGGAAAAGAAACAAGGGCTTTACTCAACAGTACATTCAATCAGTGTTTGCAGGTTTGCTGTTTGCAAAACAGACCTAAGTTTCACAGTGACTGCAGATCATGCTATGTGCATGCATTCTCTTTACTTTCTCATCTAGCATGCAGCTTACAATGTTAAAAAACCTGTATAATTTCTACCAAAACAGTGTTTAGATTGGCCTTCCAACATGTGCAACAGGTGCTGAAGTCTTTAGAAAGAAGGAAAACAGTGTTATAAATTTTAATAGCAGCAATTTTTGCAGGATTGCTCTTTTCTGTGCTCAGAACAGCTAGGAAAATTCACATTCATGTAGCTAAGTTTAGTACCAAATACTGTAAGTACCTGCTCAATTCCTTATACATTAATTACTGAGCTACCTACCCACATCATGATGTGAGAGGGAGTGTGCTATGGTTCCATGCTGCTTCTCCCTCTAGGAGCTCCTGCTAAATGGATTGACTTTAATAATGTGCTGCTCAGTTTAAAAATGGAACATCATCTGTGGCCTAACCCTGTCAAACACTCAGCTTGTTATTTTCCACTCCCATTTTCGCAAGACACTTCATGGTTAAATGCCCAGCTACATATATAAAAAAAAATAAACCTATTTAAGTTGGAAAGTCCCAAATGCTACTTTCAATTATTTCTTTTGGGCACACATATTGGTGAAAGTTTCACTCTCCATTTGATCATTCAGTCTAACCCACACTCATGGTAAAGGTGAGAGATTTAGCTTAGCTTCCTTTCCCTCCCCTGTTCCTCATATTATTTTGCTTCCTCCTCGGGAGTAAAATTTGGGAAAAAATGGTAAGACCATATAGTATACAGTATAAAGTGCATCCTATGCTTGAACATACCACAACATACACACTCATCTTTGCATGTATTTAGTTCCACAGAGTATTTTCTATACACTGTAAGACTATAAAATTGAAATTCTGGGCCCTGTGGAAAAAAAGGCAGAAGTTGTTTAGAAGTTGCTAAAATAATAAGACATTAGAAGAAATTTGAAAAGCATTTGCATACTAAAACATTGGAAATGTCTCTATTTTTAGGCTCCTAATGGGAATAAATGTTACTAAGATACTGATGAATTTTCATGACATGTTAAGGCAGCATAATTATTTCAAAGAAGAAGACAAATTTCCCATTACTGCTTTGTTCTGCTGCAATAACTTGAACCACCTAGGCATTAGATCTTGATGAAAAACTCAGTTAAAATAAAGACAATATTCTCAGGTACCAAGACATGCTTCAATGAGAAGCACAGAGAGCATCAAGGTGCGAAATTAGCTGCCTGAAGAGCTCTGTTTCCCTCAACCTATTGATCATTTTGCCAAATTTAAAACAAAGTGGTCAAATTTTACAAAGATGCAGGGGAAAAATGGAATCTTGATGGAAAGTTTCTCTTTTAGCACCCATGTTTGCAAGTCTTTGTAAGACAATTCATATATAAACCTGCTTGTACCCCAAAAGACTGATGAATATCTCTCACAATTCATGTTCAAATGTCTTTCCTCAAATTCACTAAATCTCTTTTTTGTTTGAAAGCATTTCAGAATGTAATTAATGTGTTGTAAGGAGCTTTACCATCACCACAGGCTGTTTTTCAGGCAAGCCTGTCTCTGAAGAAATGGCAGATGAAATGCTCTAAAGATTATTTTGGAGAAGTCATATCCTCTTGTTGCCAGATTAAGATGTTCTGATTGACAGATGCACAGACAGATTGTATTATTAAACAAACTGGTGTCTCACCTCTACAGTTACCATCATGTGACAATATAAATTTGATAATCTGTTCAGATAATAATATTGCCCTTTACCACATAAAATTATAAGTACATCAAAGTGCATTAAAATTTTAAGTATGTGGTAAAGCACAATATTATTAGCATAAATTAGCATCTTCAAATTTCTTGTTTCTCATTCAAAGTCAGCATACTTGCATTTTGCTGCCATCTTTTTTGGTAGCTAGACATGAACCCACCATAAATGCTAAAGCAATAAAAATGTTTGATCCCAATCTGTGACTGTGCTGTACTACAGGTATCCCAAAGTACTGTGTTACGAGTGGATAGGCAGGACTAGAGATGCTCAGAAAGAAAGAAAGGTCAAAATTTATTAAATGGAGCAACAGGCAGAAGTTGGCTGATACTGTTTTTTTTTAATTGACACAACAAATTATTTGTTTCAGCAACCATTCTGGATTATCTGTGCAATTCAAGGGATTTCTGCAGTAATTTCTGCGGTATTTGTCTCTTTGAATAAACACACTCCCTATCCAATGTCAGACCTTCTGCACTGACACCAGATGTAATACAGCAGGTTTTCCAACACTCTAAAAAACTTGCTTCTGGACATATTCCTTAGGTATAATGCATGACTATGCAACAGCTCTTGTACTGCTATGACCATCACTTTAAGTAGCACTTAAGATGCTCCTGAGGAAAATTTTGGGACAACAGCCATGAACTAGTCCAGCACCAAAACTGGAAAGAGTAATTCAAAAAACCTGAAAATCTTGACTTTCCCTGCATTTCTCACTTAAGTGAGAGAGAGAAGAGCAGAACTGAAATAATTTGAACTAGAACTATGCACAGTGATGTAACTGAACTGCCTATCACAAACTTCCATCTCTCCACTGCCCACACAGAAGATAATCTCTCTGTGTACTCCCAGCAGAGTAAAAGACATTTTACAGATCATTAGCTGTCACTATAGTCTTGCAAAAACACTGCATATGAACAAACAGAAAGGACAGAGAGAGATTTCAGTTTAATGAGGACTCTTAACACCAACAAAACTAGCAGTTGCAAAGTTTAGCACTTTGCAAGCAAATTACACCATGGTTTGTAAGAACTTAAAGGCAGACTTCAACCAGAATTAATTTTCAAGGTGATTGCTAAGACCACCACTTGGCATACAGAACTGCAGCACAATCAGGAGAAGCAGAGGTGGCATATGCTTTGAAAAGTTCCTCATTCATCTTTCAGCCCCAAAAATGATGTCATCATCCCCCAGAGAGGTTTATTCAACCTGTTTTTGAAACATAACTCCGAAACCTTTCCAAGTTATATCAATATTCATACCACCTAACGAAAATCCTTTCACTGCAATTTAGATATCACATTACTTTTCTTATCCAAAGTGAGTTCATAGAACAGCCTACAGGACTCCCCAGTGCAACTGCCTTTGGTAGATATAAAACTCACTTATTTTCACTCTTCTATTGCCTAGAACAAACACTTCCAGCTTCTTCCACTACTCTGGACATACTGTGTGCTAGGCTTGGGATCATTATTTTCTGCTGAACTTTCTCCAGCTGGCCAACATGAAGTGTGCTACAAAAACTGAGCAGGTACTCTACATAAAACAGGATTGTATCATGTATTTTACAGCCCATAATTCTGCTTGCACATCCTTTTCCTGCAGTGGAAAATAGTGTTGATTCATATTCCACTTTTCTTTCACTACAATACTCAGATCCTTTCCTAAGGAACAGCTGCATAAGCTCTTTTTATCCTCATTTTATGTTCCTGCAGCTGCATTTTCCCCAAATTTCCCAAATAGTATTTTCACATGCCTACAGGGAGCCATCACTTGCTTTTCCTTTAAGCCACTTCTCTGAATTGTAAGGACCACTTTGAATCCTAATCCTGTCCTTCAGCATGCCTGGGGCACCTCTCAGTGTTATATCACCTGCAGGTGGAATTGGCAAACTCAACTGCTGCATCAAGGTACTTAACTAAAATACTTAACAGCAAAATGTCAGAAAATACTCTGTTCTATACCACTGCATTGGTTTCTTTCTTCTTTCCTTTTTTTTGAGTGGATGTTGTTGTTGTTTTGGGGATTTTTTTTGTGGGTTATTTTGTTTCCTTTGCTTGTTTAGGGTTGGGGGTTTTTATGTGCTGGGGTTTTTTGGGGGGAGTGAAATGTCCATAACCACTCTGAGAATAGAGATTTATAATTTTCCAGGTAAGTCTGCAATCACACTGGCACAATTTATTCCAGGGCATAGCTCCCCTAATTCATCAGCTTATTAGAATGTCATGAGAGAAAGTATCAAAAGGTTAAGTTAGGTCAAGTTATAAGACATCAACAGATCCTCCTCTGTCACCCTATGAAAGGTGGAAATTAAATTGGTTTTGACATTATCTGTCCTCGAGCCAGCTCTTACTCATCATCCTGTCATCTTCTCTTGGCTTTCAAGCAACACACGAACCTTTTGTTTCAATATTTTTAGAGAAATTAAAGGTAGTGTGACAGGGTCAACAAATCCCTTCTTCCTTTCTTCATTTTTGAAGAGTAGTACTCTGTTTGCCATTCTCCATTTCTCCATTCTGTCATCTCACCTGCACCTCATCATTTCTGAAAGGCACAGAGCTGACATCATCTCAGGAACTGCCTGAAGCAAGCAACAAGGAACTCATCCAGGCCCCAACCAATTTAAAATGATTTCACAAATCAAACACCTGACCATGTTTCATCTTAAGAGGTGAGACACTGTCCTCTGGATGTGCCCCACTGGATGCAGAGAAGGTTAAGGCATCTAGTTAAAAACAGATGTAACCTTCTAAAGCTAAATTCCATGCCCTGCTGTATTAATTTTTCCACTAACTCTCTAGATAGCCAGTCTGATGTAACTAGCAGTTTGGGTTCACTCCATGATGCAATTTACAGAAAGCTTTACCTTCCTGATCTTGTTACCTGATGGTCTGTAAAAA